AGTTATAGCAACACAATCAAAATCGATTGCAAAATTTATCACAAAAAGTGCATTGCCAAGAGTTTTCACAGGAAAAAAACATTTTCTATATAGACCAAATGAAAAAAAAAAGTTGATTAATGAACAAATTGTAGAAGTGGTACAAACATTTATGAATATTACACTTCATAGTCACATATGTGTATTTATAATATAAATTAATTTATGATAACTAAATTGCACTTATTACACACATTCATGGAGTTAAGTATCTGGATCATGAAAGTGTAAAATACATTAAAAAACTCATAAATTGCTAAAGAACCAAACCTATGTTTCCTATCAAAATATAATAGATATGTTAATAACCATATTAGTATATCATCTCCTAAGAAATGCAATTCCAGAATTTTCGGAGATATACATGTATGCATTAGGTTTAATTTCAAATGCAAAGTCATATAACCAGTTTATACATCTTCCTAGATAAGAAAAAAGAGATTTATAAAAACAAAAATCGAGCCAAAGGCAAAAAATTGATATACAAAAACGAAGGGTTGATACAATTATTATATACAATATCAAAACCAGGAGACGAGATGAATCCTTAAAATTCACATTAAGCAAATAACAATCTTCATCTAACGCGTGATAGTAACTAAATGATCAATCTTTTCCATAATTGAAGAGAAAATGAACAAACTAAATAGTTATAAGGCTAATAAAACTAAGAGATAAACCCTAACAATAAATTGATACGATCACCTTGATCTCCGGTCGGCTTCTTGTCTTCCTTATCCGTCACTCTCAACATATTTTGTTTCGATCGACGAAAGTGTAACACTCGTGTTTCTAGGATAGGAATTTATATTGAGGTGATAGTCTAGGTTAATCTTTGTATATCATTTTGAAGAAATGAAAATGAATCATGTGAATATTATGTGAATTATGTGTTTTATGATTAATTATTAGGGTTTAATTAATTAAGAATAAAAATCAGCATCAAAAATAAATATTAGATAAAGCCGATATATGTGGTCGAAACAAGGATTTCGGGGATATAAAGAATATCAAAATCCGAGTTATAACGAAAAAGTTATGACCGGTCGAAGTTTCGCGACAAAACCGTCACGGTACTGAATGTCGTAAAAAGTGAGTTTTTGATAAAATACTTTTTAGCCTTATTGATCTAAACAAAAGTTGTATTATTCAGTAAACCGAGAAGTTCGATACAAAGAATGCCCAAATCTGATTTTGTATGAGCAAGTTATGATTTTTCGAAGTTTCAGCTTAGCAGTAGACAGCTAAAAACTCGAATTTTAGATCGAGTGATTTTTAGCTGACACGACCTAAATGAGAGTCGAAGGTCTCGTCATTAGTAATAGAATGGTAAAAAGTCTCACGAAAACAGACGTCGGATGAAGAAGTTATCAATTTTTAACGGATTTCCTGTCACGGTCTGTTAAAAATAATAATATAAAAATTAAAGTCAAAATTAGCCGATGAAGTCTAAACGAAAGTTGTAGAGCACAATTTTACCTACGCGTGCGTATAAAGAACGTCAAAACGGAGCTCGTATGCGAAAGTTATGGATTTTAGAAGTTTTTGCAAAAAAACCGTGAAATCTCGCATACGTGGACTTCGGCCACGTCACCCAAGCTCAAAACGTACCACGTATCCGAAGTCTGTTGAGTCATCCGAAGGGGTCTACTAGGAATCCGACGTGTGTCGCCTTCCCTCGAATGAACAGTAGTTGCATGGCGGATTCTGATTCGACCGAAGGGAGGCCCAATCCGAAGCTCGCAGCTGGATCGAGCCTCGCACTGCCTAGCCTCCGAACCTCGCAGATGGACTAGTAGACATCGGTTACTTTTCGAGTTTTGCCATATTTAGCCTTTTTCTTCATATTTACTTCATCTTAGCATCCCCCAAAACCCTGGTATCGATTAGAAGCCCTGGAATACTCAACGCAGTGCCCGAGAAGCCCGAAAAATTTATCTTTCTGGTTTCGAAGCCCGACCATTGCAGAGCCCGGTTTCTCAATAAAACTCTCAGTTTTATTAGAAATGATCGTTTTAAGCAAGGAATTGCTGCCCGATTATCATCAAATCATGTGAGTGTGTAGTCACTTTCATCTTACACCTAGATATGGAATATTTTCTATAAAATACATGCTATGTGTAATTATATTAAGTGTTTATTTGAGGTGATTATTGAATAGATGTTTTATACAAGTTTTAAACTGTATAAGCTTTTTATCTACAAAATATGTTGGGTAGAACATGGGTAGATGAAATAGGTGATGTATTAAAATAGTGAGAGGCTTCGTTGTTGTTGTTGTTGTTGTTGTCATCTAGTGGAGTATAGATGACGACCATGGACCCTTCTAGACAGTCCAGTGGAACACTAGCAGGTTCGCAACTTGTAGGTGTTGATGAACTAAATGTTCATTGGTGTACTCCATCCCCCTCATGGTTGCCTTTAGGACATGTATGGTTGAGGAAAACCCTTAGCAGTAGTGTCCATCCTGATGATATTCCATAGGCTAGGTCCCTTGTGATAGGTGTTTAGGGACGTAAAGTGACGACAACGGGAATGGGTAATCAGGGTTATTGTGGATTGGTGAACTTAATAAGTATATTATTAACGTGGGTTGAAAATCCTATATACTCACCAGGCTCCCAAGCCTGACCCACTCAGTTTTTATGATTACAGGTAGTGGACCCCGAGCATAGTCGAAGGACGAGGAGAGATTTTTTACTATAGGCCAGCGGTTGTAAATAACTGTTGAAAGGCTTATAATGTCTTGTTTATGCTTTTGATCTGTATCGGAACATGACATCCCGAGCTTTTGATATGAAATGAAACTATACATTTCTTAAGGAAATATTTTGATAAACTTTTATCATGTTTTGTTTTGGGGACCAATTCCGCAACATTTTTTAAAAAGACTTCTTTGATTTTATTTTAAAAGCATAAATTAAATCGGTCTTTTCTGGGCGAGAAATTAAGGGATGTCACAGTTGGTATCAGAGCATTAGTTTAAGCGAACTAAGAAATTGTAGAATTTCTAGACTTGAACTTAGAATGCTTAGTGATGATTGTGAAATGAGTGTCTACCATATTTTAGACACGAGCATTAGTTTATTTTAGGAAAGATTCCTAAAATGCAGTTATGTACTAAATGCTATGTGTTTGCCATGTGTGCCATTATTTTTCGGATCTATTGTCTATTGTCATCCGGATCTGGAAACCTTATGTGTGTAGGATTCTAAGCGTATGATTATGAGATTAGAACTAACATGTAAACGTTTCAGAGTGATAAGGGAATTGACATGTCTAACAAGGATAAAGACCTAAATTCACCTTATTCGGTATATAGATTGTAATGGCAAGAACTCGGAGTGGAGCTGGAAATGCAAACAGAAACCAACAACCTCAACCCCAAGTGGTGGAACAGGTGCCTATAGTAGGAGTTGCACCTGAACCCATCACCATGGCTGGAGTACGAACTATGATTAAGAACATGTTGGCTGAACAGAGGGAGGAATTGATGCAAATGTTGCTGAACAACAGGGATGAACCTTTACTTCCTGTTGAAAAACGTGAATTGAATGATGATCGATCTGAAGAAGGAAACAACAGTAGATCTGTTAGTCAAACTGATCCGCTTGTGGTTCGGAGAAATAACCACGACGATAAAGTGGAGAGAAATGGGTGCAAGTATAAGGACTTTATGACTTCCAAGCCATTGACCTTCACTGGAAAAGAAGATCTCGTTGGAGTAATGGACTGGATCTCGGAAATGGAATTAGCTTTCATGACTTGTGATTGCCAAGGCAAGTTACAAACCACGTTTGCAGTACGTCAGTTCAGGGGTAGTGATGCTCGATGGTGGAGCACTCTGGGAAAACCCTAAGCCCTAATGAGCCACTCACTACTAGAAAATAGCCCTTTAATGACGCGCAAAAAATGACACTCGCTGATAGAGGACGCGCATTTGAGCATGCCCTAAAAATAATATCAGTTTTGCGAAATTTGAAGGATAAAAGATACGCATTTGTGCGAGCCCTATAAATAGTGTCCAACAAAAAAAATTAAAAACACGGAGGGCACCTATCATAAAAGTGTGTGTCGTCTAAAATTGTCGCTTTATATTTTTTTTAGGAGCGCGTTCTCCAATTCTTAATTGCTAGGGGGGAATGAAATCCAAAAAATCAAAAACCCCGCCTTGGTACTCTAGTCCTTTTCTTCGTATGTTGTAAAATCCTCTTCAATCAAAAGAAACCCTAAAAGCATTGTGTGTAAAAGATCGATAATTTCATACTTGAAGTTCCTAAAATCTTCATCGATCAAAAGAAACCCTAAAACCCCGCCTCATACTTGAAGTTCTTGTAAGCGCTTTTGTTATCTTGTTATGTTCTGCAATAATCTAATTCCTCAACGACGTTGAGGAGGGGTTATTTCAGTTGGTCTGTACTCTATCCCATCGTTTCCGTAATATGCCAAACCTTGGACTAAGTCCAGTGCATTATTCAACTCAAGATCCATCTGTGTTGGGTTGGACTGGTAGTTGAGAGGAAAAGATATCTAGGCCCACAACCGAGAATGAGAAGATCCAAATCGTGTTACCCAACTTAAAACCTAATCAACGTTTCTATGGGTTTCCTTCATCAAAAACGTCTCAAGTCCTTCAACGGGATCAAGGGGTACGCTCACATAATAGAACGGAATGGAAAGAGAGTTGCAAAAAAGGAATTACTTGGGTTTACACGGAGATCACTTCTAGAGGTAAAATACTAAAATTCGATGTTATTCATACTTTCTTTTCTCAACAATGGATGAATTCCTTGGTTGTATCACTCATATGTTGTTCCAGAATTAACATCAACTGAGAAGACGACCATACGATCTGTACTGATCAGCCATGTGTGAACTTGAAAATTTGTGATGAGAAACATTTATACATGGTTTGGCTCAAAACATTAGGTGAGATCGTACACAATAGGGACAAACCAGCAATGCGTGTTGTATATCAAGGAGCTTCAGTTCATCAGCATCTGTTAGTTTCAAGCGAAGTTGCAAGGAGGTACCAACCTGGAAATCAGGCTAAAGGGGATGTCCTACATGTTAGCTTATATTACATTAATTCCAATCTCAATACATATGATATATCCTCTCTACAAGTTTATTCAAATAATCGTATTGATTTATATAAGGATGTGAGAATATTAAGTTGTACGCAACATAAAAATGTGGTATGGTTAGCTGGGTTTTGCATTGAAGGGAATCAGAGGTTGTTAGTTTTTTAGTATGTGTGCAATGCCCCCCTAGACATTCATTTACAGGTGAACAAGGGAACACACTTAGACTGATCATCACATTTGATAATAGTAATTGAAACAACAGGATTATGGTACTTTCATGAAGATTGCAGGGTGGGGTGGATAGTTCACATAGACATGCAGCAGCTTCAAAGATGATATTCCATTTTTCCAAGCCTACAAATACAGCCAAATCAGGCATCATCACCTACGTGACCAAATTTTAGGTAGTATGAAGCTTCTTTTGAGAGAAGATTGGTGTAACTGAGAAAAATAAATAGATGGGTATAATTAATTTTCTTTGGGTGGGTGTGTGTGTATAATATTATTCAAATGAGATTAGGTGTTGTGCCTAGTGCATTGTGGTGAGAATGAAATATTAAAGCAGGTTATCAGAATCTTTTAAAAATGAGTGGATGAATATTATCTGCTTTGAAATGTGTTCTATAAGCTTCTCCTCAAAAGAAGAAGAAAAAATAATGAAATTATTTGGGATTCACTAGACTCTTATGTCAAAATGCTTTTGTATTACATAAAGGTCTTGTTTTCTTTTTTTTTTTCCTCATCAGGTGTTGCTGTTTGGATAAATGATGCTTATTATTTTTATTTTTTTTGAGAAAATAAATGGTATACCTGAGAAATGGAAAGGAAAGAATGAGGGCAAATTTGTAAAAAGCTGGGACTTAATGGGAAAAGTCTCGTTTCCCTAACTTTCTCTATTAGGTCATTCTTTTTGCATTAAGTCAAAAAGAAACACACATATATAGCTTACCAGTCAATTAAGTTTATTATTATTATTATTTTATTTATTTAGATAGATTGGCTTAGTGTCCTGAGTTCATAGCTTACAAGATTAAGTGGCTGTTTTTTCTTTTTTTACTTAATGAGCTTAATGTGTTAAGCACATAATCTGGATTCTGGTTGTCTCATTTTTACTTAATCAGAACAGAATAACATAATGGGTTAAGCCAGGCTTAATGTATTAAAATACTAATGGGTGCTTTTTTTGTTGCTTTGATCCTATTCTTACAATTGTTGCTGGATTTAGTGTCAGGGATCCTTTTCCTTTGACTCAAGAGAAGAAAGATGTGAGTAATCCAGCTACTTTCACACAAGGGCATTTTGGTCTTTCCCTGATTTTTTTTGTATGTCTATTTCAGCATGCTAGTACAGTAATATCAAGATTTTCTGCAAAGGATTATAGTGATCATATGGCACTAGTGCATGCATATGAAGGATGGAAAGAAGCTGAAAGAGAAGGATCTGCTTATGAATATTGCTGGAGGGCTTTTCTTTCTGCTCAAACACTTCAAGCTATACATTCTATAAGGCATCAGTTTATCCATATTTTGAAAGATGCTCAATTACTTGAGACTAAATTAGGGATTAACACTTCAAGCTATACATTCTTTAAGGAATCAGTTTATCCATATTGTTTTTTTTTACTCTTGCAGTGCAGCAACAGAACATAACTATTTAGCAATATCTGATTCTGCTAAATGATTTGGATCCAAGGTACATTTACATCAGCCTATATTTCTAAGAAGTTGTTTTAATTAGAAACAATGAAATGATGTGATGTAATTGTGTGGTGTGTAGTAGCACCGTATCCGGTGTATCAGTAGGGTATGGAATCATGTGTCATGTGAGGGCTCTACGTACACATGGGAATTGTCTTCAGGTGCTAAGCTTGTTTATCTCACGCATTACAGAGGTATGTATTATTCTTTCTTATAGCCGAATAACTAACTGGAATTTTTCTAAAGCTATAAATATCTTTTTAATGTTGGTAGAATCAGGATCCATAGTGTCCTGTTTGATGGCGGATGATTCGGGCTCTTCTGGTGTATTTTGTAGTGGTTGTGGTTAGTTTAATGAAGACAGGTCCATCAAAGTCTAGCTTAGAAGCACAGTTATTGGAAAAAAGCTTGGTGAGAGGAAGGGGTATTGACAATATCTTAGGGTTTGATTGGCCAGCATCACCATCAACTGAATCCATGGTTAGATCTCTTGAAGTTTTATATTCACTTGGAGTTCTTGATGATGATGCTAAACTCACTTCACCTGTTGGTTTCCAAGTTGCTGAGCTTCCATTGGTATGTTAATACACCATCATCATTATCATCATCACTAAATGCAATAAATTTTGGTTGTTTTTATTTAGGATCCTATGGTGTCAAAAATGATTATAGCATCAGACAAACTTGAATGTTTAGAAGAAATCATCACTATTGCAACTATACTCTCAGTTCAGGTGTATAAACATTTCTCTATGATTATTCATTCTCATGTCATTAAAATCATTGTTGATGATTATTTATTATTATTTTTATTATTATTATTATTATTTTTATTATTATTATTATTATTATTATTATTATTATGTTAAAATAAATAAAACTTTTTTCAGTAAATATGGATATTGGTCAAAGGGCAGAGGGAGCTGGATGAGGCCAAATTGCGATTTGCTGCATCAGAGGTGTGTTGTGTTATATATGACTCATAATTTAGTGAAAAAATAAATAGCATCATACTTTACTTTCATTTATTTTGTGTAAATGTTTCAATATTTTAATAAAATTTTGTGTTGATTTTTGAACGGTAATCATGTGACTTTCCTAAATGTGTACATGGGATTTCTTTAGTCTAATGAATCATCAAAATGGTGTCACAAAAACTTCATTAATTACCATGCAATGGTAGTAACAAAAGTGTTTCAATTCTCATTCTCAATAGTTTTATTTTTTCAAAAAAAGTAACTTTTACTTTTATATATCTTATTTAAATTTTATCCTTTTTTTTTTTAAGAAAAAAGTAATGGAAATCAGAGAGCAGCTAAGAAGAGTAGCACAAAGACTAGGGTTAGCCTTAAAATCATGACAAAACAAGATTCAGGTATTTATTATTATTCATTTATTTCATCACAACTCTTCTCATATACATATATATATATATATATATATATATATATATATATATATATATATATATATATATATACATATTTTTTTCTTTATATTCATATAAAATTTAGTATTTACAGTGATTTTTGGTTGTTTTTTAGGTACTAAGAAAGGCAGTGACAACTGGATTTTTTGCTAATGCGTGTCGTTTAGAGGTGAATTAGCAAATTAATAAACTATTTTATTAAAATTAAAACAAAAAGTTTGTTGTTTTAATTTAAAAAAATAAAAATTAAACATTGTGAAGGCATACAGTCACCTCTACCAAACTCAATTTTACTTCTTCACTTCTCTGATTGCTTGATACCACAATCAATTCATCATCTTCTTGTTTGTTTCCTTAATTATATTTTATTTTCATGTAATCGGTGTTGAGGAGAAGCCGTGATTAATGATGTCTTTGATTGATCTAGAATCTATCTCGGAGGCAACATCAGGAGCTATTGGAGCTGTTTTGAGCACAACCATCTTGTACCCTCTTGACACCTATAAAGCTAAGTATCAGGCCGAGGTTCGCATGTACGACATAAATACAAGTACTTTTCGATCTTGAACTTCCCTAAATTCATCTGTTTTGAGTGATCTGATTCTTGTTATGTTGTTGAACTTGATTGATTGATTTCTATATGGTTATCTTGTTGATTACTTTCATATGGGTGTTTGTGATCTGTTGAATAACTGAATTTCGTGATTTTATTCTTCTCACATGACTTGTACCTTCTTCTGCAACATCTATTTTCTCCTTCAAGGTATGAACTATGAACTACAATTTATGATTCCCTAATTCCAGTTCCTTTCATTGATTCCATTCCTGAAAATTATGAATGAGCAATTTACCATGATTTCTTAGTCATTAGGTGACGATTTCACATACACATGAAAAAACTAATGGATCGTCTTTCTGTCATCTAGGATCGTCCCAAATCACGATGCATGCTAATAGAATGAGTGAACATAGGTTTGAATTAGGAAAAAAAATCAAATTTTGGATTGGATCAATAAAAATTCTATACTTGGGAATAGAAATGAACAAAAAAATGGAAAATATGTTGTCTATAAATCTATTGTTTCACTTTGATTCTAAGTTTGACGGATCATTACTGAATTGTAGGATATTTGATCTTTTTGTAACTCATTTTCTTATAGCTCAAGTCAACAAAACTACTGAATCTTGTAAATCGGTTCTATGCTTTTCATAATTGAAGAAAATGGTTAATATATTTTGCTAATGGGTTATCTTGAAAATGTAAAAAAAATCTCACCTTTTTTAAATTGATTGAAATTATGCAGGAAATAGTATAAAATGAAGGTACCTGAAGTAATAATTTGATGATTTGAAAGTCAATATTAGCATGGTACCAGACTAAAAATTAGGTCGATATCCGAGATCCATATACCAAGAAGATATTCTTCAACGATCTAGTCAGATCCTACTTCAGTAATTATTCCTTTTTCTACACAGAAATTTTTGCATTTTTCTTCCGGCAATAATGGCGACTGATATCTTGACATCCACATACTAGTAAGATTCACTAACCTCGTTATATTCATTTAATTGTGTCTAGTGTTGGGGTTCTTTGAGTTAATTATTCTGTTTAGTCGTAGCATTATTGTTCCGATTTGATTGATTTCTTACTCGCTACATGGACTTTATTCATTGAATTGATGTTTCTGGTTGTGGTTTTGGCTGGGATTTTTACATCCGGCGGTTTGGTTAAAGACAAGGTAAAAAGTAAAACTAATTAGTAAAGATTTTTTAAATAAAAAATCGTATTATATCTATGGATTTGACAACATGGATGGTAAAAAATATAAACTTCCAACTGTTTCATTCATCATTTTTAAATCTTTGAAGTTTATAGGGTCCCTTATGTATTTATCAAGTATTTGATTGTAATCAACTGAAATTTTTTTATTATTTATTTATTTATTTATTTATTTTTGCACTTATGTTGATATGTACATGTGTTTACAGGGTTGATGATGAAAGCGAATAGCTCTGGAGTTAGAAGAGGAAAAGAAAGCTCAAGCTGAAAGAGATAAGATGCTGCAAATGCAAGTGTTGCATTCTTCATTCCAATTGTTAGTATGAAACACGGAGTACATTAGATTAATGCAAGTTTATATATTGTAAGAAATAGAATTATATGACATTAAATTTTATGCAATGGATTGTATTTTTTGTATATGGTATTTTATTTCTATTATGAGATATTAAATACAAATTTAATTTGAAAATTAGTAAATCTATAAATAATGTTTTTTTTAAACATTTAAAATTATGATACGTAAAAATGTGTGTCATCTTTATCTATGACATGGCCTTTCTTGACAGTGGCTTTCTTGATACGCATTGCGTGTCATTAACACGCGCGTCGTAAGGTTACGACACGCGAATGCGTGTCGTCTTCCTTTATGACAGGGCCTTCCTTGATACGCATTGCGTGTCTTAAACGCGCGTCGTAATTACATGTCGTAAATGCGTGTCGTCTCTCTTTATGACAGGGCCTTCCTTGACGCGCATTTGCGCGTCGTCTGAGCCTTTTACGACGCGCAATGAGCGTCGTAAAAGGCTTTTTTTTCTAGTAGTGACTGCAACTAACTTGGGCAGAGTTCTTGGTGCACTTCAAGCGCAAGTACTGCTCGGCCTAAAACGTGCTTGAGTTAGAAAACCAATTTCTAACGTTGAAGAAGGGAAGTATGACCGTTGACGAATATACGAATAACTTCACAGACAAAATGGAGTTTGCTTTGCGTATTGTCCCAGATGAGTTGGAAAAAATTGACAGGTACGCAAAGGGACTTCCATGGAAGTACGCGGTGCCAGTACGTCAGGCACTTACTTTGGAGGTAGCTATCTGGGCTGCCAAGTGTGTTGAAGATATGATAAAAAGGAGAGCCGCCAGCAAGGTTGAATTTGACTAAAAGAGAAAGTTTGAAGGAACATCAGGTTCCAATAAAAAGAACAAATTCTCGAAGACTGGTTCGAGAAAATGTGGAGGAGGTGCCGAAGCCAAGTGGTGTGACAAGTGTAAGAAGAAACATGTTGGGAAGTGCAGGGTGGAAGTCACTTGCTACAAATGTGGAAAGCCTCGGCATTATGCCAATGAATGCACCTTTAATAAGAACATATGCTTTGGGTGTAATGAAGAAGGGCATATTTTGAGGGATTGCCCGAAGAAGAAGGACGCAGCAAAACCCAATCTTCCACCAAAGCCGAAGGCGAGAGCCTTTCAGATGACACTTGAAGCTGCGAAAGAAGAAGCCAATGTCGCTTCAGGTACCTTTCTCATAAACGAATTGCCTGCCCAACTTTTGTTTGATTCTGGAGCCAATTACTCCTTTATATCGCATGAATTTGGTAGAAAACTAGCTTTGCATGTAGATAGCCTAGTTAATGCTTTATTAATCGAGATTGCTAGTGGTAATTTTGTACCTGTTAGCCATCGTATGAAAAACATCCTCATTGACTTGGATGGGAATAAGTTCCACGAGGAATTATTTCCTATCGAGTTAAATGGTTTTGACATAGTTCTAGGAATGGATTGGCTTAGTGCTAATGATGCTGAAATATTGTGTAGAAAGAAAATAGTAAAAGTAAACCCGCCAGGGAAAGAGTCGATTATGGTGTATGGAGACAAACGCAGAGTAAATTCTGGAATCATTTCCCTAATGAAAGCCAGAAAGTGTTTGGCTAAGGGATGTATATCATATCTAGCGTTCGTGATCGATGCTAAGATGAAAAAGAAGGAGGTGCAGAATATTCTGGTGGTGTGTGATTATCCAGAAGTCTTTCCCGAAGATCTTCCCAGATTGCTCCTTGATCGACAAGTAGAATTTTGTATCGACTTGTTACCAGGAACGACGCCGATAGTAAAAGCACCATATCGATTAGCACCAACAGAGATGAAAGAACTTATGACACAACCTCAGGAGTTATTGGACAAAGTTTTCATTCGACCTAGTTCATCGCCCTGGGGAGCCCCTGTGTTATCTGTAAAGAAAAAAGACGGGAGCATGAGAATGTGCATCGATTACAGAGAGGTGAATAAAGCAACAATAAAGAACAAGTACCCATTACCGAGGATCGATGATCTGTTCAACCAGTTACAAGGTTCGAGCTATTTCTCGAAGATCGACCTTAGGTCGGGGTACCATCAACTAAAGGTGAGAGAGCAGGGTATCGAAAAGACTGTGTTCAGAATAAGATATGGACAATATGAATTTTTGGTTATGTTGTTCGGATTAACCAATGCCCTAGCAGCTTTCATGGATTTGATGAATAGGGTTTGTAAACCATTTCTAGATAAATCCGTGATAGTGTTCATAGATGACATTCTGATTTACTCGAAAAGCCAGGAGGAGCATGAAAAACACTTGAGAGAAGTGTTAGAAGTGTTAAACAAGGAGAATCTGTATGCAAATTCTCAAATGTGATTTTTGGATTCAAGAAGTCTAATTTTTAGGTCATGTGGTTAACCAATACAGAATAACCGTTGACCCAGCAAAGATTGAAGCTGTGATGAAGTGGGAACAACCAAAAAGACCTACGGAGATTCGAAGCTTTTTAGTATTAGCTGGATATTACCGAAGGTTTATCCAAGGCTTTTCTTCGATTACTACTCCATTAACATCTTTGACCCACAAAGGAGATACTTATGCTTGGAATGAGAAGCATAAGTAAGACTTTGAGAAGTTGAAGAAGAGATTGTGTGAAGCACCAATTCTTTCGTTGCCTGAAGGAGTTGATGACTTTGCAGTTTATAGCGATGCATCTGGAGTTGGGTTAGGTTGTGTTCTGACCCAAAGGGATAAATTGATAGTGTATGCATCGAGGAAATTGAAGGAGCATGAAAAGAACTACCCCACTCATGATTTGGAGTTGACAGCAGTAGTATTCACCCTAAAGATATGGAGGCATTATCTTTATGGCACAAAGTGTAAACATTTCACTGATCATAAGAGTCTTCAATATCTCTTTAATTAGAAGAAATTGAACATGAGGCAATGACACTGGTTAGAGTTACTCAAGGACTACGACTGTGAGATACGTTACCACCCTGGTAAAGCAAATGTGGTTGCTGATGCTCTTAGTCGGAAGGTAAAACTTGAAAAGAAAAGGCCAAGAGCATTGAGAAATGAAGTTGTCTCGACACTTGTGGAAAGTATAAAGAAAGCTCAAGAGGAAGCTTTAGAGAAGAATGACCGAAAGGAAGAACGTTTGGGCAAAACATTATTAGTATTCGGTACAAACAACCAAGGGTTGAAGGTATTCCAAGGTAGGATTTGGGTACCTAAGACGGGCGGAGTAAGAGATCTTCTAACGGAAGAAGCTCACAACACCTTGTACACGATTCATCCCGGCAGTACAAAAATGTATATGGATCTAAAATCCTATTATTAGTGGCCGACGATGAAGCTCGATGTTGCTAAGTATGTCGTCGAGTGTGTAACTTGTGCTAGGGTTAAGGCACAACATCAAAAACCGTATGGGAGTTTAGAACCTTTACTCGTACCCATAGGTAAATGGGAAGATATTACTATGAATTTTGTGACTAAACTTCCTAGAACAAGGAACGTTCATGACATGATTTGGGTGGTCGTTGATCGCTTCACTAAGAGTGCGCATTTCATAGCAGTTAAAGAGAAATGGTCTGTGGATAAACTTGTGAATTCTTATGTGAAGGAAATTATGAGGCTTCACAGTGTTCCATTAATGATTGTATCCGATCTTGACAGTCGTTTTACCTCAAGGTTTTGGAGGAGTCTACAAGAGGAATTAGGTACCAAGATGTGTTTGAGTACACCTTACTATCCGCAAACCGATGGTCAGAGCAAACGAACGATTCAAACATTGGAGGATATGCTGAGAGCATGTACCCTAGAATTCCAAGGTAACTGGGATGAACACTTACCTCTAGTAGAATTCTCCTATAATAATAGTTTCCACTCAAGCATTAAGATGGCACCTTATCACTCTTTGTATGGGGAAAAGTGTTGAACACCATCATGTTGGCTAGAAGCTGGGGAAAAGCAGTTTATGGGACCTGAAATAGTCCATCAGACTGCTGAAAAGTTGAAAGTGATAAGGGAAAGGATGTTAGCTGATCAAGATCGACAAAAGAGTTATGCTGACTAGAAAAGACAACTGATAACCTTTGAAGTTGGAGATTCGGTTTTACTTAAAGTATCGTCGTGGAAGGGACTTATAATATTTGGTAAAAGGGGAAAGTTGAGTCCAAGGTTTATTGGAACATTTAAAGTTCTTCAGAAGATCAGGAATCAAACTTACAAGCTAGAATTACCGGAAGAAGTGGAGGGTATTCATAACACCTTTCATGTGTGTTATTTGAGAAAGTTAACGGGAGATGTGCCCGACATAATTCCGATTTCTGAGTTAAGGTTGGATGAAAACAAGAGGTTGTTCGAAGAACCTGAGGCAATCGTTAACCGTAAGACTATGAAGCTCAGACACAAGATGTTCGATTTAGTGCTTGTGCGTAGGAAACAAACGAATTGGCCAAATCTCACTTGGGAAACGGAGAGTGACATGATGGATCGCTACCCGCAGTTGTTTGGTGATATGTGATTCCGGGGATGGAATCATCCTAAGGGGAGAGAATTGTAACACTCGTGTTTCTAGCCTAGGCATTTATATTGAGGTGATAGTCTAGGTTACCCTTTGTAACTCATTTTGAAGAAATGAAAAGGAATTATGTGAATATTATGTGAATTATGTGGTTTATGATTAATTATTAAGGTTTAATTAATTAAGAGTAAAAATGAGCGTCAAAAATAAATATTAGATAAAGCCGATATCTTTACATAAAGTTGTAGTGGTCGAAACAAGGATTTCGTAGATATAAATAATACCAAAATCCGAGTTATAACGAAGAAGTTATGACCTGTCGAAGTTTCGCGACAAAACTAGCATAGTGCTGAATGTCGTAAAAAGTGAGTTTTTGATAAACTACTTTTTAGCCTTAGTGATCTAAACAAAAATTTTAGTATTCGTTAAAACAAGAAGTTCAATA